TTAATACATCATAATGCATATTTCAAAATTGTTTTTAAAAAGTACATTTTAGTTGTTCTTACTACAGACAAATGATAAGCATGTGAGATGATGTATATGTGCGTTAGCCTGTTTTAATCATTCCACAAAGTACACAAGTATAACATTTATGTTATACCACATAGATATACACCGTAATGCTATTTGCCCATTTAAGTAATTATTTTTAAAAGGAGCAAATAAGTGTTCTAAAATGGGAAAGATTATCTTATAAAGGAAACAGTAGGTTTGTTTTTCTCCAGATGGTAGAGTTAATCCCTGAAGCTAAAAGATGCTTGGAGTGAAGTTTCTGCTCAAAATATTTTTCTAAAAATAGAGCAGCCTAAAGATAGAGCAGACTGCCTCAAACGTGAGGTATGCATGCAGAAAAAAGTCACTGTAAGGGATACGTGCAATGCTGTTTGGGGATAATCAGGGACCAGGGATAGGGAACTAAGGAGTTTGGGTTGTCTACTGTATAGAGGAAACTAAAGGAGATAGCTAATTTCAGTCATCATTCATTCATTCAGTAAACATTGCTGAACACCTGTGTGCCAGGTGCTGTGGTTGACACTGAGATGTAAAGCTAAATAATATCTAGTCACTGGGGCCCTGATGTCAAGGCACATACTCTAGTGGAAGAGAAACCCATGTAGCTAAGAGTGTGTGGAAAGTGCTATGTGAGAATATCTGCAGCATAATGTAGAGGCTGGGGAAGGGGATTCCCAACTCACCTGGTGGGGTAAAGGAAGGTGAATGGTATTCAGCAGGGATTAACACAGGAGGGATCAGCTGAACTAATCCCTAAAATATAATACAGTAGGAGCATGCTAGCAGAGGCAGTGGGGATAGTGGCGAAAAAAAAAAAAACAAAACACAGAAGTAGGTATAAGTCAAAGGAGAGAATTCCACACAGATGGAAACTGTAAAACTACTTTAGCTTTACTTTAAAAAGGTCAAGGCCAGAAGTAAGGAGCTGCAAAGTCCATTTAAGCTGAGAACTTTATTACAGCTCCGGTTCCAAGCCCATGCCTTGTGTGACCGAGGACAGGATATTCTACTGCCACTTGTGGAAATTAATCTTTTTTGGACAAAGGCCAAGACAGACCCATGTTGTGATTCTCTCCCTATGGCAACCCAAGAGGAAGGGTGAATGCCTGCAGATGAGAGTTACCTTTTCATGCCAGCCACTTAATAGAGAGGCTATGGAAAAGTGAAGAGCAGTCCCCATGGCGGGCCTCACAGGAATCATAATCTGATTGTCACAGCAGTGACTCTTTCAAATCTGGCCCAATTGAAGCTAACACCACACCAGGATCTGTGCTGGGCACACACCAATCACCCGGGAGGTCAGTATCATTATCACCATTTTACAGATTTGAAGGCTGAGGCACAGGATAAATCACAGTTATGCAGAAGCCTTGCTTCAGTGTCTAACTTCCTCATCTTACTGGATTCCGTTTTCAATAGGAGAAAAGATGTAATTTCATGAAGAAAAATACCATCTAAAGTGGCAACTTGGATGCATTAAACAAACTGGATTGGAAATGAAAATTAGAGTCAGTCCCAAGATACTTGACAGTGTCCCCTATGTGTAGATAGTTTAGCAAAATGCTTTCATCTATGTTGTTTCATTTGTTGCTCAAAACCAGTCCGTCTTCTAGGAAAGGCAGATGATACATTAATCTCCAGACAAAAAAAAAAAAAAATGGGATTCAGAGAGGCCAAGGGGCTTGTTCAAGATCCTGCAGTGAAGAATATACTTGCAGGAATTTTAACAAAGGTTTTCAGATCCAGAATCCACAGGATGACTGCTCTTGAAATCCAGTGGTCACATATAATAAGATGTCTTTGAGCAGGTAAGGGAGGACCAACATTTCCTAAAGCCTTTCCTTTCCCTGCTCTCATGTGCCTACCTGAGCAGCCTACCCAGAGATTCTGGAACATGTTAAAATGTATCTTGCTTCAGGGCCACAGTTTGTGTCACTCCTTCTTTCTGGAATGTTTTTCACAAGCACTGTGTGGCTCCTTCTCATCCTTCAGGTATCTGCTGAAATATTCCCTTCCCAGAAAGGTGACAGCCCTGACAGATATGCCGTCTCCAACTCATCTCTTCAACTCTTTACTGAATCTCTTTGTATTCCTTTTGCTAACACATTTCATAATCTATAGATGGTGTTTAATGCAACAGTTTGCAGTGGACTGAAAGTTGTGTTCCTCCAGCATTCATATGTAAAAGCCCCAATCCCCACTGTGATAGTATGTGGAGGTGGGGCTTCTGGGATGTAATGAGGTTTAGATGAGGTTGTGAGGGTGGAGCTTCTCATGTAATCAGTGTTCTTCCTTTTTCTTTTCTGTGTTTTTTTTTTTTGAGACAGAGTCTTGCGCTGTCATCCAGGATGGAGTGCAATGGCATGATCTCCGCTCACCACAATCTCCGCCTTCTGGGTTCAAGCGATTCTTCTGCCTCAGCCTCCAGAATAGCTAGGATTACAGGCACATGCCACTATAACCAGCTAATTTTGTGTATTTTTAGTAAATACGGGATTTCACCATTTTGCCAGGCTGGTCTTAAACTTCTGACCTTGTGATCCACCTGCCTTGGCCTCCCAAAGTGCTGGGATTATAGGTGTGAGTCATCACACCCAGCTAGAATTAGTGTTCTTATAAGAAGAGAAAGAGAGAAGAAAATTGTCTCTGTGTGTCTGTCTTTCTCTCTAAGACATGGAGGGACACAATGAAAAAACAGCTGTCTACATGCCAGGAAGACGGACATCACTAGGAACCGCACATGCTGGCCCTTGATCTTGGACTTTCCAACCTCGAGAACTATTCAAAATAATTATCTGTTGTTTAAGTCACCCAGACAGTGATATTTTGTCATGATGCCTGAACTGACTAATATACAGTTTATCTGTACATTGTTTGTCCCTCTAGATTATACACTCTCCAAGTCAGGGACCATACAGTGCTATAAAAGATAAGTCCATGGCTATAAGTTTACTGCTATTTCCCCAGCACATTGGGGAGAAGAATCATTGTCAGAATTGTCAGCCATTAGACAGTTTATTTACTGTAAGGGTGTCTGACAAAATTATCCAGTTATTTCTCAACTTCCTAAATAGCTCAAACCTCATAATGTTTAAATTGTAAAATATCTGTTGATTCAAGAGGGACATATTAGGTGGTCTCTCTTGAACTTTGGACGTCTCTTTCACAAACTTCCAATATTAGACCATCTATTGCCAGACCTTCTCAACTTAAACAAATCTTACTTTCAACCCAACTTCAGTCACCTTCACCGTGGCCTAACTTTTGCCCTTGTTATTATCCATAATTTTCTAAACTTAGAATCCTTAATCACCGGCATCATAGTTATTTACTTCAACCCCCAACACTGATAGGTCTCTCACATCCTCATTTATTCAACTCTTGGTTTTTGTCATCTTAGAAATTGAAAATTCTTGAAAATCACAAATCCTCCCTATAAATCAGATCCCTTCATATTGTATTTTCAATCCAAGTTTGGCTCCATGTTTAATCATCCAAATCAAAGGTTTATAAACTATGGCCTGTGGAATAAATCTGGTCTGCACCTGTTTTAGGAAATAAAGTTTTATTGGAACACAGTCATACTCATCCATTTACATATTTTTTACATCCATTTTCATGTTACAATGCAAAGTTGACTAGTTGCAACAGAGTCTCTGTGGCTCACAAAGCCTAAAACATTTTTTATCTGTCTTTTAAAGAAAAAGATTACCCAACCCCTAACCTAAATCAGTGATCTGTGAAGTAGAAAGTGAAAGATGATCTTTTGGTGCTGATAAGAACATATGATTTAAAAAAAAAAAACACTTTATAGCTAGGCGTGATGGCTCATGCCTGTGATCCTAGCACTTTGGGAGGCGGAGGTGGGCTGTATGTGAGGTTAGGATATCGAGACCATCCTGGCCAACATGGTGAAACCCCGTCTCTACTAAAAATACAAAAATTAGCTGAGTGTGGTGGTGGGCACCTATAGTCACAGCTATTTTGGAGGCTGAGGTGGGAGAATCACTCCAACTCGGGAGGCGGAGGTTGCACTGAGCTGAGGTCATGCCGCTGCACTCCAGCCTGGTGACAGAGCAACACTCCTTCTCAAAAATAACAACAACAAAAGAAACACTTTATTGAGGTATGACTAGCAGACAGAAGCTGTACATAATGCATACAACTTGAAGTGTTTGTTGACAAGTGTGCAACTATGAAACCATCACCACAATAAATGTCATAAACATATCCATCACCCCCAAAGGTTTCCTCTGCCTTATTTATCATTTATAAGAATACTTAACATAAGATTTGCTACCCTCTTAGCAAATGTTAGCAACTCTTTGAGTATGCAATATAGTATAGCTAACTCTAGGCACTATGCTGTACTTAGATTTCTAGGATTTATTTAACTTGCATAACTAGAAGTTTTTACTCTTTGCCCAATATCTCCATTTCCCCCTCCTTCATCCCCTGGCAGCCATCATTGTACTCTCTGCTGCTACGAGTCTGACTGTTTTAGATTTCTCAAATGAGTGGGATCATTTAGTATTTGTCCTTCGATGTCTGGCTTATTTCAGTTAGCCTAATGTTCTCCAGGTTCATCAGTGTTGGTGCAAATGACAAGATTTATTTTTTATTAAGTCTAGATAACATTCCTTTGCAAATATATACCACATTTGCTTTGTATATTCATCTGTGGATGAACATTCAGGTTGCTTTCATGTCTTGCATATTGTGAGTTATGCTGCAGTGGACATGGAAGAACAGATATCTCTTTGACATCCTAATTTCAGGCCTTTGGGAAATATCCAGAAGTAAACTAATAAATCACATGGTAATTCTATTTTTAGTTTTTTGAGGCATCTCCAAACAGTTTTCCTTAATGGCTGTACTAATTTACATTCTCACCAACACTGTAAAAAGGTTCCCTTTTCCACACATCTTCACCAACACTTAAATTTCATTTTTTTGATAATAGCCATTCTAACAGACCTGCGGTGGTATTTCATTGTGGTTTCAATTTGCATTTCTCCAATGATTAGCGATAGGGATATTGAGCTTTGTTATTAATAACCCACTGGACATTTGAGTGTCTTCTTTTGAGAAATGTCTATTCAAGTTTTTTGCCTATTTTTAACAGAATTACTTGTTTTCTCATTATTGAGTTATTTAATTTCTCCCTATATTTTGGATATTAGTCCCTTAATAGATGTATTATTTGCAAATATTGTTCTTAGCCTGCGGGCTTTCCCTTTATTTTGGAAATTGTTTGCTTCACTGTGCATAAGTTTTTTAGTTTGATGCAGTATAATAACTAATAGATGAATGGTCTCTCTTTTCTTTTGTTACCTGTGCTTTTAGGGTCATAGCTCAGATCAATGTGTAGAGATTTCCTTATTTTTTTTTTAGTAGTTTTATAGTTTCAGATCTTATATTTAAGTCTTCAAACCATTTTGAGTTGATTCTTGTATATGGGATGTGATGTGTTCAATTTCATTCTCTTTATGAGGACATCCAATTTTTCCAACACCATTTATTGAGAATTCAACAAAGTTGCAGTATACAAAATCAACATAGAAAATCAGTAGTTTTTGCATGAACTAACAATGAACTATCTGAAAAAAACTAAGAAAATAATTCCATTGTAATACCATAGAAAAATACTTAGTGGTAAATTTAACCAAGCAGAAATATGGAAAGATCTATGTTCTAAAAACTATAAAACACTGATCAAAAAATGAAGATCACACAAATAACTGGAAATATGTCTCATGTTTATAAGTTGGAAAAACTAATATGGTTAAAATGTCCATACTAAACATGATCTAAAGAATCCATGTGATTTCTATTTAAAAACTGTCATTTATTTATAGAAACTTAAAAAAGCTAAAATTTATATGGAACCAGAAAAGACCTAAATAAACAAAGCAATCTTGAGCCATAAGAACAAAGTTGGAGGCATCACACTACTTGATTTCAAACTATATGGCAAAACTAAAGTAATCAAAATGGCATGGTACTGGCAAGCAAACAGATACAAAAACCAGTGGAATAGGATAGAGAGCCCAGGAATAAATCCACAAATTAAAAGCCAATTGATTTTGACAAAGATGCCAAGAATAAGAAAGGGCCAGTTTCTTTCATTATTTATTCTCTGTATTCTTTTCACCTCAGGGAAAATATCCAGTTTTCTCAATTGTCTATGAATTCACTAACTTGATAATACCTTTATTCACTCATTTGTTTATTCATTTAATCTCTCAATTGCTTGTCCATTCTATAAATATTCAGATTTCTTATTATGCATTTCCTCAGAATTGGAAGTGTAATACTCAACAAGATAGCTATAAATCTCAGCCTCCTACTCCTGTGTTTATAGTTTGATTAGGGAGGCACATTTAGATATGCCATGATAATTGCTTTACTTAGAGAAATTCAAGGTGGTGACACCTAACCCAGATTGGTAGAAAAAGGGAATTCTTCCACTGGTAATGCCATGATTTTCTAAATAAGTAGGCTCAATCAAGTCAAGAAAGGGCCTGAAAGACTATTTCAAGCAGAAGGAAGGTATTTTCAAAGGTCGGAGTATGTAGTAGAGAGAATAGGCAGTGGAAGAGAATTATGAAGTGTTTCAATAACTAAAAGTAAAGTGACAAGCTCCTTGTCCAAGAGCTTAGATTGCATCCTAACTGAAATTAAAATATACTAAGTGTCTGAAGAAGGGAAATAAAATGACCAAGTTTTATTGTGTAAAAATCTGTTCCTTTTAGGTTAAGTTTATTTATTTTTTTTAACTTTCTGACTACTCCTTTCTGAAAATTTCAAATATTGTCACAATTTCTGATGGAGAATACAAACTAAGAATGGATTAGGGAACTGAGTCAGAATGTTCCTGTTGGACAATTCAATCATGTTCTTCTAAGGATGTGCTTTTGGACATTATGGAAACTATCTTAGGCTCTCACTTGGATCCTAGAAAAGAAGGCACCTGTTAAAAGGAATGTCCAGCCCCACCTAATCTGGCAGCTGCCCCTCCAAGCTAATGACACTAGGGATGTAATGGATTCAAGAGGCTGATGATGCCATCTTGTCAACTCATGTGACTATTTCTATCAGCTTTATTTCTTCAACATCCTGTGCCCACAAAGGGGACACAAGATCATTTAATAATTCCCTCACCATATTAAGATACAGATATGCCCAGAATCTTAAAGGCAAGAATATGATTGAAATGTCAAATGGGGACTTGCTTACTTAAATGATGCCCCCCAAAAGCCAATCTCTTGCTACCACCAGTGCCCTATGGGTGGAGTTTCTAAACAGATTACTCAAAACACAAACTTTCAAAAAGGGAAAGTCGTGACCCTCTGGTCATCAGGGCAATTATGGAATAACATTTCTGGAGTAAGGTTTGCTCAATGCCCAAGAGATGAGCTGGCAATACCACAATGTCCAATTCTTAGTGGGTCCAAGACCATGTGTTGCATTTCCGTCTCATGATTACTTGCAGCTTCACAGTTCTGCTGTCCTTCCCTCCTCTCTGCCATCTCTTAACTGGGGCTTTGACCTCCTACCCCTAAGTTTCAACCCTGTGATATTACTTGTTTTTCCATATACACTGTGATCATTCTGACCCCCATTCTGTAGATTCAGGATTTTCTCTTTTCTTGGATTATTCTCCAGCACAAGTAGAAAAATACTGTGCTTCAATGGAAAGTGCATGTTGTTTGAATCATACCCTTTCAAATTATACAATTCTAGACTTTCATTATCTTTGAGCCATTGTATAGCTCTGTAAACTAATGTTAATGTGTATAATTCTTGTCTATGGACAAGTAAATTGTGTCCAGTGGTGATTTAATTGACTTGTCTTCCTCATTGTGGAAAAGGCTAATAGTTTTGCCTCCATTTACCCATTTATTTCTGTAGTCCAGGTCTATAAATATATTTCTGGGTTTCCCTTGGACTCATTCTAACATCTCTTCAGTTTTCTCAGTAATGAATTAAATTAAATCTTTAACACCTGTTCATATTTCTGTCACTATGAGAGTATGAAAAATTATTTTTGAAAATTATCTTTTAATAGATGAAAAAAGAATAAGCACTGAACAAGAGGTCCTGAAGTTTTGCTATAATCCAAAGAAAACTAGATGCAGTGCCATAGGATAATGTTTCTCCTGAGACCTCTTTATTATAATCCTTTAGGTTATTATAAATGCAGATAGCTGGGCCTCTTATTAGACCCACTGAATCAGACACTCTAAGAGGAAGGTCAGGAATCTGCATCTTAGCAAGTTGATGTCCAGGAGTGTTAGAGACTCACTATGACATATGATTAAAAGTAGAAAGAAAGGCTTTCCAGCAACTTAAACCTACTTGGAAAGATAGACTAATGTCTAGATGAAACTACTGATGAGACTTTAGATGGATATGTTACATATATACCTGGAAAAGCATGTATAAACCAAATCCAAATAAACCAAAGCCAAATTTCTTTTAGAAATAGTGAGAAATGAAAGAGTGAGGAGTTTGTCACTAACATCACCCAGGTAAAACATCTTATATCTTTTTAGCCGAAATAGATGCTACAGTTTGAAGGTGTTCCCTCCAAAATTCAGGCACTGAAATTTAATGGCTGATGTGATGGTATTACACATGACAGTAGGTTCTTTAGGAGGTGGTTAGGCCATGAGTGCCTCCCCCATGAATGGGAGGAAAGATCTCATAAAAGAGGCTTCTCACAGCATTCTGTCTCTTGCCCTTCCACCTTCTGTAAGTGAAGACACAGTGTTCTTCTCTTCCTGAGGACACAGCAACAAAGCATCATCTTGGAAGCAGAGGAGCTATCACCAGCCAACAGAACCAGCCAACAGCTTGCTCCTGGACATCTAGTTTTCTCCAGAACTGGAATAAAATAAATTCCTGTTTTTTAATAAATTACCCAATTTCAGGTATTTTTGTGATGGTAGCAAAAACAGACTAAGACAACTAGTATGAAAATATGCATTAACAAATAAAATTAGTCATCATATATGTTTGTTTTTAAGAGAAATCAATATGCTTTCTGTTGATTGATTGATTTAATAAATATTGGTTGAGCATCTCCACTGGGGATATGGCATTAAGACAAGATTTCTTTGATCTTAGTACTTTCAATGCTTTTTAAATAGGATCAAATATATGCAAGGTAAAAATAGAATACACTATATATTAGATTTGGGAAATGTTAGAAATTTCTTTGAAGCTAAATTACAGTTATCATTTTATGAGCTTTACCACCAAAATATTGTGGTGCTCACCAACTTGCTTAAGTAACAACACTTGCTGTCTTCTCAGATACAATATCAGAAACTCATAATCCAAATGGGAAGTGTGAGTTAATAGAAGCCTCATAAAGCAAGGAGTGCTTTGGAGTGTGTGGAAGACATCAATAAATGATACGTATAACATCAAGTGCAGAAGTGTGTGCTAGGAAAGTTCAAAAAAGAAAACAAAATCAGTAAGTAAGGTAAGGCCAGAGATTGAGGAGTGGATAGCTTCTGGAATTCAGGAAATGCTAAAGTCTATGCAGAATTTGCATGGGTGAAAGATCAGATTGGAAGGCTTTCTCTGTGGAGGTATCCTGGGTCTAAGTCCGGAAGTGATCCTGAGCCGCCTACTGTGGAAAAGTGTCAGTGAGCAAGAGCCTGTCTGATGAAGGTGGAAGCTGAGCGGCCTTTTACTGCGCATTGCCTGTGTATAGGCCAGATTCCAAGAGATTGACATTCTGCTAGTTTGATCTTTCTCAGATAGCTGAGTAGAGAGGAAGTTTCACTCCAAATACCAGATGTCTCCAAACATCTAGATGCTTGATGTTGTGTATTTCAAATGGCAGGTTTGATAAAGCTGTTTTTACTCTCCACTTGGATGTTGGTTGTCAAGACTGTCATTAACTTCTGGGAGTTCCCAAATCCTCAGAGAGAAAAATAAGCAGTCTTGACTGCAATCAGGAGCTGGCTTTGAGCCCCACATGGCAACATGCCTGTATTTAATTAGAAGTGGCTTAGTTCTTGGGATTTACTGTGGATTGAGTCTATGAAGCTGGAAGGTTTTTATCCTGAGGATTCCATTGTCTCCTCATGCGTATTTTATCAAATTTCTTCTTTAACCATATAGGGGTTTTCAAAGTTGACATATAACACTTAGTTGTGTGGGGAAACTAGTATGATTGTGATGTGCCTTATGAGGACACCATGCTTTTTAAGTGTTAAAATTATTTGGAACACTAACTCTGCTGAAGACTAGATTTTCTAGTCCTACAGATGTTTTCCAGTAGACGTATTTTGCCCTTTTAATAAATTGATTGCAAAGTTATCTTCATTTTACCTTCATGTTGTCATACCCTTTCATTTTTCTATCTTCTCATAGCTAGGATCTGCTGGTCCCCAAATGTAGACACACCTCTGACAGCAGTCTCAGAGCCATTATGTTTCAGAGGCACTACAGATTTAACCAACTTTAGCTCCCATTGTTCAGCATCATCACCTGGTAGCCAAGTCAAAACTGAGCACCCTTTAATCCATCAACAAGTTTTCTGTAGCCATGAAAAGTTATGAAATGGGCACAGACATGCACA